TACTAATAAATCCCTGGTTTGAGTACTTGCTCTGTAAAGCAATCACTTCCTCCCCAAATAAATGATCAAGCAAAAGTACATAAAAAATAAATAATAAATGCATTTTGTTTTAAAAATGGATATTGAAAATGCCATTAAACTGACAGAAATGAAAGACCATTCCAGATAAATTCTTCTTGTGCCAGTTAACACAATAGGTATTCATGGAGGAGTATAAAATCGTTCTTTCATACTTGTAAGCAGGCATGTCTCCTTGCTTGCTTCTGTGTGTCCTGCCTAGGACCATGTTCCCTCCCTTACACTAGGTGTACAGATGAAGGGGTAGAAAGGCCCTTACTATGTGTTTGTATGTAGTCAGCCACAACATAGCCCTTAGATTTCCTGTGCCTCTCAATTCATCTTTGAATCTGGCCTATGGTCCTTGGAGATAGCTTATTCAGTTCTTAAGACAATTTCAAGAAATGTTGAGAATCTCTGTGTATAACTTTGGTGAGCCCTCATGGGTGTCATGAATAGAATGTTTTATTTAACAGGAACATATTACTCTTAACAACTATATTCCTTAGCCTTCTAAAATATTAAAATAAGACAAAGTTTGTAGAATTATGTGGAAAGTATCCTGTGTCCCTGATTAATACTGATAGTAAAATATTAGCAAAGACAGGCTTGAAACATACTGGAAATCATTCTTCCAGATTTGATGTATTCCCACTAAGTAGATTTTTATTAAAAATTGATGCCCATAAAAAACACCCTATTATTCATTAGCCTTATAAATATCAATCATTATAATAAGGATAAAAAGCTACTATGCTTCATGTGAGAATAGCTGTGCAGGAACAGCTTTCCTTTAGATCAAATAAATTTGGTCTGGGACAAAATTTAAATTGAGTTGTTTTTGTATCTAGAAATAGAAGTAGCAATATCTACAAACAGAAAGATGTCCAAAGCACTATCAGCATAAAGTTGTAGGAAATAGGTGTTCCCCTCTCCTCACCTGCATGTTTAATTTTGCATTTGTGGAGCAGTAAGGCAAACTTTTGTTTCTGAGAGTGAATTTAGGAGTGAGGGAGCAAGCAAGCATTCCTTTATAATTGTTCTAATCTATATAAGGTAAGTATTAAATTAATAGCACTTAGAAATTTATACTCCTTTTATTTGTAAAATTGTATTTGTAAAATTAAATAGCAAAATATCTTAAATAAGGTCAAATTAATTAATCTGATAGCCACATCATGTAGGCCAGTTATTGCCTTTGTAGTAGTATATAGCTGTAATACAGTCACCTATAGCCATCAGAGGATTTCTCTCATGTTAGGAAAATTCCTGTTGGGCCAGGAAGGAGCTGGGCCACTGCTTCCCCCACTGCTTTATGGTATGTAAGGACAGGGGAAAAGGAATAGCAAAGGTCTGTTCCACTACACCTATCCTCCATGAGGGTAGGTCTTGTTACAAGCCCTAAGCTATGTCTATACTACAATCACAGCAGAGAGAGGAACTTTTAAATGTACATTTTATAGGACAGGCAATATTAGAACTGAAAATGCTTGATAGAATGAATACATTTGAGAAATGGATAGATCCCCCCCCCAAAAAAAATACAGTAAATTATTTATTAAGGGCTAGACTGTATAACTCTATACTGTGTGCATCTTGCTCCATAAATAGTCCTGATTAAGCCTCTGAGTAGTCTCATCCCAGTGACTTATGCATCTATCCACTACAACTGAAGAAATTGCACAATCTAGCTCTTGAGAAGGAGGCAGCCATTCATGCTTGCTTCACACTAGGTTATGCTACATTTACGCACAGTGAGTGGTAGATTTGAAATCAGTGGTATTGCTCAAAAAGTAAAGTAGTACTTTCCATGAGGAAGGGTAGCAGAATCTAGTTGCTGGTGATGCAAGGTTAATATGGTACCTCACTGCCACATCCAGCTCTCTTGAGGAACTATTATTCTCTATCTAATCAAGATAGCAACAAAATAGATATTTCTTATTTTTACTTGAACGTAATACAATGGTTCCTTCAGTGAAGCTTTTGGTGTTACAGAGAGATAAATCTGCCATCCTGTGTATGAATGGCGCAGTATTATGCTGGGATAATTTATGACAAATTGAGCCTTTGAGTTCACAGAAAAGTTCACATCAGGACCAAAACACATTGAAAGAGGGAAGCAATCAGTGTTTGGGGATTTTAAAAAACAGACAACGGCTTTTAGTTGAACAATGATTATAGGTTCAAGATTTGGATAGTTCAAACTATGCTACTTTTATGGTCCTATTTCCAGGAAATTTGAACTTACCATTGTATCTAATATATGTTTCCTCACAATACTCTTGTAAAGTAGAGTGATGTTCCTATAGCCATTTTACTGATGGAATATTGAGATGTAGATTGGCTGAAGTCTAAGGGACCTGAGCATTGCAATTCTTACCATTACAGCATCTAACTTGTAGGTACTTGCCTACAGGATGCCTAAGTTTGCTATACAGCACATGGAAGGTCCTAGATGTTTCTGTGGAATTTACAACTCCAGCCTGCTGAGCAGGAGGGATATTTAAGCTACCACTAGAAATGCTGATTAAAGCAATGAATCTTCATTATAAAAGTGTTGTCTTCTAATTATGCATCTAAGCTGCTCTTTGCATGGGTGACTGGTGCTTCCTGAATTAGGGGTGGCACTTGCCACCCACCCCTGGCATCCAGTTAGTGACCGGGGGGAGGGTCTCCCCATGGCTGGTCATGTGCACCGACCCAGAAGCAGTGTTCCCTCTAAGCTGGTTCTAAGAGAGAACACTGCTTGGAAGGGCCTGGGATGCGCCTGGAAGTGCCAGCAGCACTTCTTCTGGCACCCCCACTCCCTGGCTGACGCTTTTGGGGGGGAGCACCAGCGCTCCTGCTTGACCCCCTACCTGCTGCCTAAGCATGAAACACTGGCCATGAGGGGGTGCACAGTGCTCTCAGGAGGTGCACTTCCGCCCCCATGCACCCACTACGCATTGCAACTGGCTCTTTGGAAACCTAGGAGTTCTTTCTTCAGAGGCCCTGGCCCCTTAACTGACTTGCTCGGGGTTACACAGGAAGTCTCTTTCAGGGTAGCAAATTGAACCTAGGTCTCCATAGTTCAATGTTAGTGACTTCAGTATTTTATCTGTTTCTTCCCACTGTTTCCAGCATTTCCAGATCAAAAGTAATTAAAGTTAATACATCTTTTCCATCCAATATGCTAAGCACCTTTGAACAGATCCTCAAATCACTTTGGAAAATCATGTTGGCTGGGGTTTTGAAAAGTGGCCAATAATTTGGGATAGCTTGTTATTTGGGTGACCAACTGGAGGTTGGGTTTTGTCCACCCTATAAATTCTAAAAACCATGTTCTTGCAAGAAAAAGGGGCATCCAAAAGCAGAGATGCCTGTAATTGCTAATCATTTTTTAAAAGCTTTGTAATATATATCTTTTACTTTCTCTGCTTAAGAGCATGCTTACATTTGTAAAAAATTGGAGGCAGCTGCTGCTCCAGATACATACTTGGAAGCTCCTTCTGACTTTCTATGGAAATACCTGAATCTTTAACCCTTAGCATGGTATAATTTTAACTATCAAGAAAATGAGAATAAAAATGGAATATTCCCAAAAGGCCAAGGATTTTTAGCAAGCAATCTCCTTCCTCAAATTTCAGCCCCCACAATGTTTTGGGTTTTTTTATAGTTGATCAAACTCTAAGCCTTTTTATCCAAGAATAGAAATGGCCATTTCAGTAGAAAAATAACCTGGGAATAACTAAGGTTAATCTCTCCCAAGAGCGTTTCTTCTGGGACAGAGACTGTCTTTACATCCTGGCATTTCTCCGAATAGAATATAGACCCCAAAATCTCTCCCCCCACCCCCACCCACACACATACCTCCCATCCAGGGAGATAGTGTGTTGCTGTCTGGGCTCTGCTGTTCCAAAAGGGAGAACACCCCCCTTCATAATCCCCCACATTGTGTCCTGTGGAGAAACACAGGCTGAGCATGGGCAATCTGGGTCAGCCAATCAGGGTTGCCTGGTGCAGTGCTACCATCTGTCACTAGGCAGACTAAGGGGACTTATAGAGCACTGCTGAGATGTATGCATGGGGCCACCTGCCCCATCCCCTCCAGCTACACAGTGCCAGCACTATAAGCTCTTCACACTTCAGGGCTTCAGCATACAAATATCTGTACAAGTGGCTATGAGTAAGTTTTTCTACCAGGAAAATAAACCTCAAAAAATTCTCTCACATTATTTGAATGTGTGTATACATCCAGACAAGGTTCTTTGGGTGAATCTGATACCTTTTATTAAACCAACTTAAATAGCTGGAAAACAGTTTTAAGCAAGATTTCGGGTTCAAAAACCCTTCGTCAGGCTGAGGAAGTTTCAGCAGTTGGTGTGAAAAAATGTATTTTCCAACTATTTAAGTTTGTCTAATAAAAGATATCAGATTCACCCAAAGAACCTTGTCTGCCTATGTCCTTAGACCAACATGGCTACAACCTACACCCCTATAAATATCCAGAGAGTCATCTGTTTTCAAAGTCCTTCCTTAGAATGAAGGGTCCTTATTCAGAAGGTACAAAACAAGAATAAGAGCTTGTAAGGTGTAGAAAAGAACTGGGACATCCAGGTTCACATTTGTTCTCATAATCTATATCCATACATAAAATGTCAGGTCTTACCATTTGCTGTTTAAGAGTACAAAAGTTCTGAAGCTTCCCTTATTATTTAATAAAATTGGTACAGGAAGGACAGCTAAGGAGGCATATTATGTAACTTTAACAAATTACACTTTACTGTTTGACGAGTGCTTAAGGGCACTTCTTAAGGTGCTCTATGTACTCCATCTCACAAATTTAAAAATAATGAAAGAACAACATGAGATGTTATTTTAATGCACTGAAAGATTTCTGACCCAGATACCCAAGTTATTTTCTCTAAAGATTTGAATGCCATCCTTTTTTTATTTTTAATCAGGCTGATAAGAAGATGTATATTCTACAACTCTGAAGAAGAGGAAATGCTCTACCAGAAGGATGTGTGATGCACAGTTTCAATCTGGTAGGTTCCTATTACTGTTTTGCTGATGGTGATTTTTTTACACCATCAGTCTCACTTAGGCTTAAAGTAGCCTCTTAGTAGTTATAATTATTTCTTTCCCAGTAGTGTCAGATTTCTATTTTATCCTTGAGGAAAATACTGGCCTCCATTACAACAAAATATAAATATTCTAGTTTGACTGCTAGCTCAGCTACTATGTAGAGATTCATTTACAGAATTGACTTTTAGTTCCTTGCCCAGTTAGGGAAGGAAGTTGATTTGATCAGGAAAATGGTTTTCTTTGCAAACTTTTCTCAAGCTATCAGAAAATTCTTATCCTGACCTAGGATGGGAGAAGTCGAACAAAAAGTCCCCAACAATTTCTAGTATGAACTTAAATTTTGCATTAGGTTAAACTGGAAAATGAGAAGTTATTTATGAACTGCTGTTTTATGATGTATTTGGTGAGTGTGGGGAGCACTGTCACAAAACTTCTGATGGATTGTAGAAGAAAAGACTGCTGTTTCATTCTAGTTCTGAACTCATGTTACAGTTATATATGCAACTTCTAGCTAAAAAGGTGTAGTATTGGGAAGTTCTAAGAAAGCTGAAGAAATTAAAAGAGAAAGTGGAGAGGAAGTAGCAAGCTAATGAATTGGAATTTTGTTCCTTATAATATGAAACAGCTAGTATCAGGGCATTGGACCATTGGAGGCACAGGTGGTATTCCTTTCTGCCTAAAAGAGATACACAAAAATGGCAAAGGTGTCAGCCAGCAGATGTTCAATCTTGTGCCTGTAAACCTCTGTCAACTTCACTTTCACTTGCTCTGCCCTTTCCCTACATACATCATATTGTTGGTAAAAAGAGAATCTAACATTTTGTGAGAAGGCCTGCTAAAAAATATGAGTTGTAGGCTAAGGGTGACAGATAGGATGAGTCTGTGTGTATGGCTCTGTTGTAGTAGACATAGGCATAGATCAAAGTAAAGGAATGTAAGGGCTCTGTTAGCAATAAGGACAGCAACTCCTCTACTGTCAACGATTTAGCAGGGTCCTAAATATTACATTGTTAAAGGTAACATCTGCTAGGCCTCTTGTTTCCTTAACAAAAACCTGGCAGAACTCTCTTGCTCCTTTTCATCTTAATGGTCCACAACTTTGGGTGAGTGTGCTGTTGGTCAGAATCCCTGCTGGCTGTCAGCCATCATTCTCTGCCAAGCATAAATGTTGCCCTCCTAATAACCTACTTGTTGTCCTTGCTATGTCTGTTTAGGGAGGCATTTCTTGTGCAGCAACTGTTCCGTACTCACCATACTGTGATTCTTGTACCAGGATCTGATGCTGCATTGCTGAAGCAGCTTTTCATAAAAGCCTGTTTTCCATTTATATCTGCTGAAAGCAACCACATTTTGGAGCATTTGCCCCCACCATTTTGGTGCCTGATTTAGACAGTTGTGTTTTAGCCTTGTTTTCAAATAGTACCAGCTCCAGAGTTTGAAACCAGCTTTTCTCAGTGTAGCCTCTTTGATTATATTGGCACTTAGGTCTCACTCAGACAGCCTTACAGAAGCACGTCCTTTAGTGAATATTGATGTTGGTGAATCCCAAATTCCTTTTTAGTTCTTCTGCATGTTTTGCCTTTATCAGCATAGTATCTGTAGTGAAAAGGAGAGAACTCAGTAGATTCAAATCCCAACAGCCTGTCAGAAAAATGACTAATGCCAACCACCATGTTCATTGACTGCTCCAGTGTTAGACACCAGGTGCCACGTGCACCTAGAAACTGGTAACACCATTAATCAAAAGGAACTCCTTCTCATCTCCCAGTGAGAGTCTGTTCAGCATGGTGCAAATCTACCTGGAGTGCTGGGAGAAAACAGCACTAGCAAGGGCACTGACTCATCCCTTGTTCCCTCGTTGAAGGGACAGTGGGGAACAGGGATCACAACTGAAGTACTCTGCCTGTTCCAGTCATATCCCATGACTCCTGGCAGCTTTATATGAAGATCTCTAGATGGTCTTCTATGGTATTTCTGTATTGAATGAGGTGGCGATTCTTTTGTCTCATATAATTGCACGTGACTAGGAGGCAATAAAAGTCACAGAACCAGGTTGGAAGCATTCATCCTCCCCTGTGTCAGCTGGCAGTGAGGTGTTCAGTGCAATAAAACCTATACATGGCCCCTGCTTTCAGTGCAAATTCAGGTCTTGATCCCCCAATTTCCTGTTTCTCTTTCAGATATATAATTTTTTGGGGGAAAAAAAGAAGAAAAAACATCCTTTGTCCACCTGCTTGAACTTTTGTTTTTCTTGCTGGCTGCAGTTGTATATACACCTTTTCTATTTCCTAGATGCTGGGTCTTCCTAAAAGCGTCTTGCTCCCCAGAAAGGGCATAACTAGAGGGGGCAACCAGGAACTAGCCCCATCAACAAATTGGCTGGGAGGCAGGTAGGGAAACTGCCACTCTCCTGCCCCCTGTGCCACCGCCAGCATCCTGTGGTGAGACAGAAGTGCCATGTTTCCTCTGGTGGGTATACAGCATAGATGATATCCTTGGAGAAAGGAAAATACTTCCCTTCTAATGCTGTTTCTCAGAAGAGATCAGTTTGTAGGATTCCTACTCACACACCTATTTCTCCTTTGGAGTTTGGAAGTTCCCTTTTTGAGTTATTTCAGGGTTTCTTTTTTTCTGTTGAACTTGAATTGGCTTATCCTTCTGGGAACTTATTTCACAGAAAATGAGAAGGAACTGACTGCAACATTCAGAGGAGAGCACTTATACTTGGCAGAAGTGGCACAGTAGCTACTGCTGCCCTCGAGGGTAAAACAAAAATAAGAGCTAAGGGAGTTCTGTCAGCCTTGCACTAAGGAACTGAGAGCCAGAAGTGAAAATCCTGTGCAGATACTGTCCTCAGAAAAACAGAACAACACGGTAAGTCATTACCCTTTCATATTTTCATGCATTTTAGAAACTACAAAACAACATAACCTTTTAGCACAATTACAAATAAATAATTTTGGTAAATAATTATTAGAGTTAGTAATAACAATAGGCAGTAATGGGTATAGCTGGAATTCTGTGAATGGCAGACTTTATTCCAAAAAACTTCTTATGATTCCCTCTTAGTGCAGTATAGCTGCGCAGTGATCATTCCTCTGCGCTGCATGTAACAGGAACAATTATACTCTAAAAAAAAATAATCCAAATAATTTACCTTTACCCAAATCCTTCCCTAGTTTTCCTAGCTTTTTGGGGGGTGTACAGGATTTTTGCTATTTATTCCATTTTATATTGGGAAAAAATATTTCCACCCACACCCAGTCCTTTGCAAATCAGACTGATCCTGGCTTGCCAGTTTCCATTTATGATGGAATGGTCTCAAACCTGTACTGATTTAGAGAGTACCATTTTCCCATTTTTCATGTCCCTTCTCTCCAAAACTCTAAATTTTCTACCCGTTTCTCTAACTGAAGGCACCTCACTAGAGGCAGTCATTTCAGCTGAAAGTGTGATTTTCAGCCTTAATGAGGCATTTCCACAGTCCCTGGCCTGAGGGAAGTGGCCTGCATAGCTTATTGCACAGCAGATGGTAGGCCTTGCTTTCATACAGATTTGCATGGGTTTAGTAAAACTGATGAATCTCCCTTTGCTCCCATTTATTTCAGATTTAGAAGTTGTGATTTTGGTTTGCTTCTAAATGAGTTAAGCTGACTTTAAAATAAGACTAGTTTAAGGTGAAATAAGAGGTTCCACACAGCTTTTTGCGTCAGTATTAACTAAACTGGTTACTACCCCAATGCATTTCTGTTTGCAGATTGGCTTAGAAATATTCTTCCTATGTATTCTATAACATGTTTGTTATTAGATAATTCATTTAAGGTCTCAGGAAGTACCCTAGCTACATGACATGTAGCCTAGGTTCAGAGTTTAAGAAAAGCAATTTGAATGTACTATGGGAAGATTATTTTGTAGAAAACTTGCACATTTGAACTTAACAGCTCTGCAATTTTTAAGATAGTTCATACTATTTGTTATATTTTACATTATGTTCTTTTTGTAGTAAAATGGGAAAACATTATTGTTCTTCAGGTAACCTTTTTTCCCCTCAAATCTACTGTAATTTCAACAGGGAAAAAATGGAAAAGATGCACGCGTTTGGGGTTTTAACAACCTCAACCAAAATGCACTAGTGTAAATCTTGCTTTTGTGGGGAAAATGGCTTTTATATTAACACTTGGTCACTTCCTTTATGTTTTTTTTTTCTATAAGCAAGCATAACAACATAGCTTGGAAACGCATACCTCTTTTCAAGGGATATAACTTAGTTTAAGTTAAAAATACTTTACATTCAAAATAAACATTTGTGGATTTAAAGTTGTATCGACAGTACATTCCTCCAAGGGAAAATTACCACAGACCTTTTGAGTTTCCTGCATGAACGTTTTTGTTATAAGTCCCTCATTTTTCCAATGTCCCTGATGTTTGTCAGACAGTGCCCTCCACTTGGGCCCTATCATGTTAGAAATATTTGTAAAACTGTCAGAAGTATATGGGCAAGTAGGAACATTGTGATCTGCATGGCCACAGAGAACTTCACAAAGATTAAGAAGGTAAGTCTTCTAGGTCTAGCTCAAGCTGAAGGGAAAACTGTTAGCTAAAAACCGAATAGAGATACTGTTTGACAACCTGAGTGGTATTAATTCACTTCAGTAGAAGGCACCAATAACCATGCAGAATAGCCAGTTCATTATGCTATTAAATGCAGACATAAGGCCATATTTTGTCATAAGAACATATAAGCTCCAATAAGGAAGGACTCAGTCCCTCAAGGTTTTGGCACCCACTTTCGGGCAGTCAGGAAATAATAGTGTGCCAGGCTGGAGGCCAGCTGGAATTGATAGCCCACTAGTAAGAGTGGAGCCATAGCCATAAGAAGACTTACAAACTTCAGCAGGGAGTGCTGAAGGAGGAGAGGTCAGGCTGCTGCACTCGGGTGAAGTCCAGAGCTAAAATTGTC